GGGTCGGGAGATCCAGACGGACAGAGGAGAGGCCCCGGGATTTATGAAGGGACCTGCGGATGGATGCTACGCGCATTGATCTCAAAAGCTGCTTGGCTAATTGTCCTTTGCTTGGGATAAGACGTGCTCCGTGCGTAGACAACACGCAGAGCTTGCGTTTCGAGTATCGCGCTACTGATCTGGTCCCTACGCGTGGCCTAGCAAATGAGGCGGAAAAACAAAGAAAGATCTTCAGAATAGTGTATACATACTATCATAAGAAAGGCTTATTTTGAGAGATGTCCTCAGGTTTGTTGGCCATGGCATCATGTTTAGATGTGCAAGTTCACAGTCGATATTCTGCATTCGCCTTGCTCTTCAACCCCTCAATCTGGTTAAGGAGGCTCACTTTCTCTTCTTGGAGCTGGTCAATGTCAGTGGTGACTATTGAGGTACTCAGAGCTGAGCGGGTCTCGTCGCCTGTCGCCTAAGACTAACATAGAGACGAGGGATCCTACGCGAGGCCCACCATGCCCCTCCGCTCCAGCTCTGGCTCCGATCCGACTCCTCCTCGACACCGGAAATGCCGATGACTGCACAGCCGATCACCGCAAAGCCGATATCCCATCGTTTCTCTCTTATTCTCCCCTCTTACTACCTGTGGAGCAGCGCCGTCGCTTCGGTGTTGGCTAGGCCTGTTAGACTACCCCATCAGCCGTCAATCGCGTGGCCCCAGCATCGTTCGCGTCTCTCTCTACTGAAAAGCGACCTCATCTCAACACCACCGAAAAAAACTCCAAGTCAAACCCAGACTTGCACCTCACAACCGCCTCTCACCTCTTAACCACTACCGACCCAAAACCACCTCAGGAGTCCACACAACGGCATCTCATTAAGCCTCACCACGTTGCCTGCTCCCATCTACGCTCTACACAACCGCATCTCGACCTCTCACCCCGCCTCATCTGGCCCACCATGGCTCTTCCTCGCATCACTATCCTGGGCTCCCTCAACATTGACCTTGTCTCCTACGCCCCCCACCACCCCGTTCCCGGCGAAACCCTCACATCCTCCGCCTATGCCGTCTCCTGTGGCGGTAAGGGCGCCAACCAAGCCGTCGCCTGCGCCAAGCTCTCCCGCAAGCCCGACCTCTCCAGCCCCTCTGCCCACGTCGCCATGCTCGGCGCCCTGGGCTCCGACTCGTACGGCAGTCAGCTGCGCGACTCGCTCGCCTCCTACGGGGTCGACACAGACGGCGTGCTCACTCGCGAGGGAAAGAACACCGGCGTCGCAATCATCATCGTCGACGAGCCCTCTGGTCAGAACCGCATCGTTTTCTCCCCGGAGTCGAACCACTCCCTCCTTCCCGCGCATTTCGCCACCCTCCCTGACCCGAAGCCAGACCTGCTTATCATGCAGCTCGAGATTCCCTTCGATACCGTCATGCAGGCCCTCGCCGCCGCTAAGACAGCTAACGTCCCTGTTTTACTCAACCCTGCCCCAACGCAGGAGCTGCCCCTCGCCGCGTACGACGGCCTCGCGCACCTCATCGTTAATGAAACCGAGGCTGCGCTGCTATCAGGTGCCAAGGAAGAGGAGCTGGAGGATCCGCAGGGATTGAAGCGCATCGGTGCGTTGTTCATTGAGAGGGGCGTGCTGAACGTGATCATCACCCTCGGTGGACGGGGCGTTTACTACGTGAACAAGGCGGGTCAGAGCGCGCTCGTCCCGGCTCTCAAGGCAGGGGTTGTGGACACCACAGCGGCTGGTGACACCTTCGTCGGATCATACGCCCTGGCTGCGGTAGACAGTGCGTTTGATATCGAGGAGGCGGTTCAGGAGGCCAACCGCGCTGCCGCAAAGACGGTCGCGAAAAGGGGTGCGCAAGTATCGATTCCTTGGAAGGATGAGCTGTAAATCTACGAAATTTCAAATGATAGAAAAACCAAGAATAACAGGTGAGAACCAATAATAAGAAAACACTTCAAACTCTAAGGTTTCAGAACCATGACGCCCAGCCACATCTGCTCGAGCCTTTTCTGTTCGCGCGGACCGTGGCACCGATCCCTGGCTTGCTGCGCCTGTCTAAAGGGCCTGCCTCTCCATCACTGAAGCCAGGGAACAGGCGCCTGAACGACGAGTCCATCGCACTGGGACGACAATCAATCGATGGCGACTCGCTAGGCTCCTCGCGGTACTAGTCCGAGTGGTATGACAAACCGGAGAGATCACTGCTTAGAGGTACAAGTTTTGAACGATACGTATTCTGCTGTCTGTTTGTGGACACCGAGGTTGAAGGTAAAGGTGGGGCCAAAGCTGGCGATATGCGGGATTCTGGATGAGATTGTGCTAATGCTCCGTCCAGTTGCGCAGTAACCCATGTTTCGAACGTCGTAGAATCGGTAGGGTCTGCTTTGGATGGTGTCAAGTTCGCTGTTTCAACCCGTAACGAGCAGAAACAGCGTATCAGGGGCCGGTGCTGGCAGAGGTGACCGAGGGGAGAGTCCATTGCTCTGCTTCAGTGTCACTACAGCTGTAGTCTCTATTGTACTCTCGATCGTGGAAACCCCGCCGGTCGTATCGGAGTCCGCGAGCATAGGAAACGCAGAGTGAGAGTAGGACACCCGGACTTTCATGTAGTCGACCCGCAAGTCTCCTAACTGAAATTCCAGATCTTCCATTAGTTCGTTGGAATGCTGGCGTACGTGGCCCGCTTGTCTGGGGAGTAAGGACTTTGAAAGATCGATCTGTCTTTCTGCCAAGAGCAAGATGCTCAAGCCCGCGTAGATCGTACTGTCTTCTATGTCGCGAGGAGAGTACCCTGACTTCTTTACCAGTAGTTCTTTAATATACAGATAATTACACTTTTTTTGGTCAGTGTTTCGGCCCACCCAAGGAGGAGTGCCAGCCTATTACTCTTTTTATCGCGCTACCGTAGTCCGTGAAGCCAGAGCTAACAAGCCGAAAAAGGCTTTTGTAGGTAGAGAGATGTCGAGCATTCTGCTAAGAGAGAGCGTAAAGCACATACACGTATTTTTGGTTTACCCTGTAGCTGTAGCTGAGGGTAGAGATCTTACTGGACATTGGTCATTCGGCAGTCTCAATTAAGAGATCCCCTAGCTATAGAGGCTATAGAATAAGCGGTCATAGGCTCGCTTAAAGACAATATAAAAATATATCCTGAAGAAGGAAATTATGCGCCCTTGGGGTGGGAGTGTTGAGAGTTTCGCCGAATTGGGAAAGTTCTAGCGAACTTCCTTGTGGACGCTGATGTAGACTAAGTTTTGGGTCTCGAGTCCTCAAATTGGGCCCTATACTGAAGCCGCATATTTTCCCATGAAGATCCTTAGAGGAACGTACTTCATAGGCCTATACATCAGAATCAAATCTGGTGATGTGTCCCGATCACGAGCCTGAGTAAATTTAGCCCATGAGAGGCCATGTTCTGGGATGAACTCATCCTCGGACATGCTATATACGGAGGGTAATTCCTAGGTGCTTGCAGGGCCTCGACTTTCACTACTTTCATGGGGGAAAGCTAGCTATTGGCTTTTATTAATTTATACGTCATTATGGCCCAAATCTACGATATTCAAAGCTTTAACTACTCAAAGAGTGCTGGGAAAGAATTACCTACTATTACCTATCTTCGCCACGCTCTTGGTTATGGAAATCCTGGAGAGCCTCAAGACCGCCACTTCTACAGATCCGTGAAGAGACATGCTCAAACCTTCAAAACTAGCAATGGTATTCCTGGTCGAAACCTACTTCATTGGAGCTCTAGTCTTCATCAAAATGGTCTGGTCGAAGTAACGCAACTTTCTTCATACTTTGGACCAAGGCAGCCACTTCTGGCCTGACACTCTTGATAATAGCCGAACCAGGCTGCGATATTCCAAAGACTCTGACTTGTAAGAATTTCTCAGGAAACCTACTGAACTTTAGAGTCTTGCTCATATTATACGTAGGATCTTTCATATTATGAGGATTTAATTCTTCAAAGTCAACCAGCTGCTCAGGAAAGCTCGAAGAGTGGAAAAGAGAGACGAAGATACCGTGAACCAGGAAAAACGATCACTCAATAATTCAATACAAAGCCAGCAGCAGCAACAACAACAACAACAACAACAACATCATCATCAACAACAGCAACAACAACAGCTACCAAAGTCGACAAGCGACCCTCTAAATACCGTTCGACTGGTGGGTTCTGACCCGTCTAGACCATACAACCGCAGATCGGCGAGTAGGGATCCTGGCATCGTGAATGAGAAGCCTATGACGAGACCCAACCCCGAAGCGAGTACAACAAACTGCAATAATTCCAATGATCTAATGTCATTAGAACAACACTCAGCCACTATTGTTGAGTTAACCAACCTTACTGGGAACGACGTCGTGCTGCCGTCAGAGCAGCATAGTGTCCCATTGAGCCATGCTATAGGAGTTGAGAATGACCTAGGTATGGTTTCATGACTGTTGTTATATTATTTACTAATTTCCTATAGAAAAGATTGAACCTAGATTTTGCGATGGATTCGGCGCCTCAAACACTCTCCAACAGGTTTGTCAAACGCCTCGTTAACAGCCGCATCTCCGCCTCCACGGAATACTACCGCCCATGATGCAATGAACCACACCATCAATCGACAATTCGGTCAGCTGAACGCACCCGATAATGGCCCGAAGGCTCTTCAACTCCCGAGAGAAATATTGAGCAATGGTGATTCATCAGACCACCCAGGAGAGGCCGGCCAATCTACCGACAGAACCACGTGTCATGATGCTCTACCTTCGGCTTTGGGGTCATAAATACTAAGCAAACCGGCCCCGGACGGGAGTCTTTCGTGAATGCGCTAAATCGGGATGCCGAGGGTTATGCGTTATGAGAACCTCACTCGCCGGAATCGAGCCATCACGGGAACAATAACACTCACCAAGATAAGCCCAGTAAGCAAAGCATCCCGCTTATAAGTTCGGCCTACTAATTCGACATAGACCAAACTATAACTAGCGAGAACATGAGGCCAAGAGATGACATTACTACGCCATTCTCAGGCTACGGAGAGGATAACCTTGAAGCACCAGAGCACAGACCTGCTGCTGACGAAATCATGGTAGACGCAGATGATGATATCCATAGTTGTATTGGGGTGTTAATAACAACGGTCTCTACTTCAACGGAACAGAGCTAACCCACTGCTAGAACCACCGATGTGGACGTAGAATGGGAGATTGACGGCGACCTGATGGGTAAAGAAGTCATTGATGGCGAGGTGTACTACTTGGTTCCTTGGAAACCAACTCTTGTACCTGCTACCATGATGCAGAGCGCTCTGGAGCTGATTAACAGGTTTGAGGCTAGGTTTGGAGCCCAGACTAGTAAGTCAGTGGAGGGAGCCAGGGTTGCAAACAAGATTGCTACAAGTCAGAAGCCAAGCCAGCATGGCAAAGACATGACGGCTCGCCGTCTTGGAAGGTACAATACAATACAATACAATACAGCCGCGACGTCGTTTTCGTTCGGAATGACATGTGGCCCATACCGAATTTTGACTCTGATTCATGCGCTGAGCCAGTCCTAAAGTGGCTGCCCCGTTTATTCCGCAATGCCACAAACTGGGACGGAGACATAGAGATTGAATTACCATCATCAGGAAGTGCTATGTATCTGAGATCAAAAGTCTAACCAAAAAAAAAAAAAAAAAAAAAAATTTCAACGCAAGGAAGCGGGAGAGGGGACCACAACGCAACCACCAACCGAACCTCCGTGCCCACGATAGCTGTTTGAGTGGCGGCACCACCGCCCGTCTTGCTGATTCATAGTAGGAGAGCAATGGGTCAACCAGAAGTCGCACAAGGGATTGAAAATGAATGAAAATGACGATCGCGAAGGTGAAATCGAACGCATTGAGACCGTTACATACACATATGAAAGATTTTGCTTGTTTAGGCAGTCGTAGCTGCCTGCCGGGCAGCGATAGCCACTGGAGGCAGGCGAGTGGCCGGCCAGGCTGACACAACAGGCGCGGACGTTCGCGCCTCTATTGGCTCCCGTGAATCAAACTGCTTTTATGCCATGGCAAGGTATCGTGCCGCAGTCCACTCTCTGCATCGTCGGCCCCAGATCATCATCGGCACCGTGAGCAAGCTAACGGCAATGCAGAGACAGCCAGAGAGGGTACACATGTTATACAGGCCCATCTTCTCAATCCAGGGACTCAAACACATGGCAGTGAGAGTGCCAAAGGCGTTGCGGACAAACACGACACCGATGCTTGCATCACCAATTACCTACAGGACGTGCACGGTCATTAGTTTATCCCCGGCGGCAGGGTATGACGATCGAGATCTGTTACTTACATCTCTGTACGAGTCCAAGAGATATACAACGCAAACATTGCCCAGGGCTGTGCTTCCAAAGCCAAAGATTCCCAAGCCAACAGCGGGGATATACCATGGCATGCCCTATATAACCTGTCAG